GGTTTCTCCTCCATCCAGGAAGCTTTTTTAATTCAAAATGTCAGAAATAGTGTTGAGTTCCAGGTTTTATCCAGCAGCCCAACAAAGCCTGGTTTTAGTTTAGAAAACATGCAAATTGAACTTAACGCTATTTCTGACATTTTGAATTGAAAAGCTTCCTGGATGGGAAGCTAAAAGTCTTCAAACTTGGAAACAAATTCCAGTGGATTGTTTTTAATGATCTTTTTTTGGAATGACCTGGATGACTGAGAATCTTCACTTTCTGTTTGGCCTTTCACTCTCACTTTTTTTTTTTTTTTTAGCTAGGAGCATCGAAGCTCCAATTAAAAGTAGGAAATGTCAGTGAATCCTTATCTTTGAAGCCATTTTCATGTACAAGTTTAAAATGAACTAGGTCCAATTTAAAGCATCTTGCAGTTTAAAGCAACACTTGCTAAATGGATCAGACTGCCTCTGTGCTTTGGATCTGATTAGAGGGAATCCTCCATCAGAGAACCAGAAATGTGTTTGATCAGTACAATGGTATATTAGGGCCACTGTAAAGATGAAGAAGAAAGAAATTGTATTTTGAATTTTTAAGTTTAAAGTGGTATATTTATGAGAGTAAATATGCAAATTTACGAGTAAAAACACCCAAATTTATGAGAATATAACCATGCAAATTGAGAAGGAAACAAGTTGCAAATGTACAAGAATAAATATGCTAATTTAGAAAGAAAAAAACAAATTCACAAGATTATAAGGATGCAAATTTAGAAGAAAAAAGTTGAAAATTTACAAGACTAAAATGCAACTTTATGAGAAACATGCACATTTACAGGATTATATAAATGCAAATTTATTGTATCATTTATTTTTCATTTAAAACCTTCCATGAGGAGGCCCTTGGACCTTCTCATTCCAACGCTAAAGCAACCCGATTAATGATGCATTTGCATGTGCTTTATGTAGCAACCTTTAACCTGTATTATAATGTTGCGTTGTTCTGCAAATGTGCTTCTTTTTTTTAAATATTTGTATGGTTTGATTATGTAAATTTGTGTGCATATTCTCGTAAATATGCCTTTTTAAACTCACAAGTTTAAAATCCTTGTTTTTTTGGTCTTTTAACAGTCCTAATACGCCATTGTTGATCAGCTAAGGGTCAGAGCTAATAACTGTTAGCTTAGTTATTACAGGCTGTTTGGTTTATGAGGAGAGAAGCCTGCATGGAGCATCAATTCGCACCAAGAGCTGAATATTGACCTGAAAAATCCTTTAATAAATCACAGATTAAGCTAATTGACGTTAAAGTTGAGTTTTGTTGCTTCAAAGTTTCTTAATTCCTAAATATGTTGCATTGGTAAAATAAAAGAATACTAAACCGTTAAAAATCTCATGCTACGTTCAGATCACACGCAACAGGAGCAGCTAAAACACGCGTGCTGCTTCCTTTTAGATGTTTGTACCAGTTTAGTTCTGATGCGTCTGATCAAGTAAAGTGGATCTGATGCGCGGTGGGCGGAGCTATCGTATCCTTTCTCTG